TTGCAGAAATCGATAAGCTGATCCTAAAAATCATATAGAAATTCAAGGGATTCAGAATGTCAATACAGTTAGAGGAGTCACATTTGCTGATTTACAAACTTACTACAAAGTGACAGTAATCAAGACAGTGTAATCAAGATCTGCAATATATATATATATATATATATGCCACACAGTGTAGCCTAAGAATAGATCTGAAGGATCAAAAGAGTAGAACTGAAAGACCAGAAATAAATCTTCACGTTTATGGACAGTTGATTTTCTTCCACATGGTTACTAAGAAAACTGAAGGTGGAAAGAACAATCCTTTTCACAAATAGTGCTGGCACACCTGGAAAACTACACACAAAAGAATGAAGATGGATCCCTTTCTTACACATGTGAAAATTAACTCTTAAGAATCATAGACCTAAATGTAAGAGCTAAAACAATATAAAAGAAAACAGGAGTAAACCTTTGACCTTGGGCTATGCAAAGCCTTCTTAGATAAAATAATAAAAGTAACAAAAGAAAAAATAAATTGGACTTCATCAAAATTTTTTAAATTGTGTACTTCAAAAGACACCCTCAAATCTCAGTGTAGCTTCATCAATCATAACAAATATGTAACTTTTGTGAGATGCTGATAATGGGGGAGGCTGTCCAGGTGTGCGTGCAGGAAGCACCTAGGAAATCTTTGTACCTTCCTCTATTGTACTGTGAACCAAAAACTGCTCTAAAAAATAAAGTCTTTAAAAAAAAAAAGATACTATCAGAGGCACCTGTAGAGCCTGTGACTCCTGATCTCAGAGTCGTGAGTTCAAGCCCCACGTTGGGCATAGAGTTTATGTTAAAAAAAAAAAAAAAGACATCATCAAGAAAGTGAAAAGATAGGGCGCCTGGGTGGCTCATTCGTTAAGCATCTGCCTTCGGCTCAGGTCATGATCCCAGGGTCCTGGGATCGAGCCCTGCATCGGGCTCCCTGCTCTGCAGGTAGCCTGCTTCTCCCTCTCCCACTCCCCCTGCTTGTGTTCCTCCTCTCGCTGTATCTCTCTCTGTGAAATAAATAAAATCCTTAAAAAAAAAAAAAAGAAAGAAAAAGATAATCCACACAATGGTAGAAAATATTTGCAAATCATAAATCTGATAAGGGTCAAGTATCCAAAACACATAAATAATTCTCACAATTCAATCTTTTAAGATTTTATTTATTAATTTGACAGAGACAGAGGAATACACACACACACACACACACACACACACACACACACACACACACAATGGAATATTATGCAGCCATCAAAAGGAATGAGATCTTGCCATTTGTAACGATGTGGATGGAACTGGAGGGTGTTATGCTGAGTGAAGTCAGTCAATCAGAGAAAGACATGTATCATATGACCTCACTGATATGAGGAATTCTTAATCTCAGGAAACAAACTGAGGGTTGCTGGAGTGATGGGGGGTGGGAGGGATGGGGTAGCTGGGTGATAGACATTGGGGAGGGTATGCGCTATGGTGAG